ACAGGAAGTCTAGTTGTGCCCAACTCTGGGACACTGGTGCTCATCTCCATTTCTTAGCCGAAGAGCCAGCATTGTCCGTAGACACCTCCAAGGTCATGTGGCTGCGGCATGACTGCATGGAGCGCTGTTACCTTCCTGCAGAAGCAGTACCTATTGATCTACTCACACTTGCATGTTTTCAAACTGCTAGATTGGCAGGAGCTGGGCAGAAACTCACCCTGCTCCCTGGATTTGAACCGCCAACCTCTCGGTCAGCAATCTCAGCAGCTCAGTGGTTTGGCTCACTACGTCACCAGAGGGTTATTATATTGTGTATTATTTGTATTATCATATTATCAATGCTGCAAGTCACTGTTCCCTCAGCTTGCCTCCAACACAATGAATAAATATTATATCTACAGGCAGTTCCCGAGTTACAACATCTGACTCTAAGTTAAGGATGGGGCTGAGACCACAGAAAGTGAGAGGAATCCTATATAGTATTATATATTATCCCATTTATAAATGACTCCTAGTTAAGAACAACGGAGCTGGGACCACAGAAAGTGAGAGGAATCTTATATATTATCAGTTTGACTATATTATTATTAACAAGCCGTTCCCAAGTTACAAACATTCAACTTGTAAGAAGCTTACAGTTAAAAAAAGTGTCCTGTTCCAACTTAAGGGTGAATCTGTAGAGCTTCTCTCGTTTGTGCCGCACACTCTTTCCTTCTCCTTGCTTTTTAAAAAAGGATTATTATTCAAACAAAAACATACTTGTAAAGTACAACAACGCAGAGTGAAATTGAAGCTACCATTTTAAAAACAAGTTTCTGGTCTGTACGAAAGTAACTCGCACACCTTGACCTGTACACATTCTACGAGGGTTGAATGAAAAGTAATGCCTCCACCTTCGTTACTTGGGTTTGGATGGGAATATTTTAATAAATGAAACGCAGAAATAATCCTTAGAATGTGCTCTTTAACGACCACTATTCATTTTCCACATAATCACCAGACAATTGGATACATTTCTGCCAACAATGAACAAGTTTTCTGAAGCCGTCACGGAAGAAGTCGACACTCTGTTTCCACAACCAGCGTCTCACAGTTCTCTCAACGTCTTCATCAGAAGAATAATGAGGTCCCTGCAGATCTTCCTTCATTATCGGGAACAGATTAAAGTCAGGCGGTGCTAAATCTGGACTGTATGGAGGATGCCGTACGATGGTGAGATCCAGTCTCCGAAGTTTCAAGTTTGTGCACTTTCATTTCAGGCTTCAGCATCCTGGGTACCCATCATGCACAGATCTTCCGATAGCCAAGCAAAGCAATAATGTGACCCATGCGTTCTTGTGAAATGTCAATTATGCTTAAAATTTCTCTGAGTGAGACGATGATCATCCTGAATCAATCTGTCAACCTTTGGCTTGTAAAACTCAGTGATTGTTGTCACAGGATGTCCAACTCTTTGTTTGTCACGCAAGTCAGATGTTCCCACCCAGGGCCGTAGCCAGAAAAATTTTTCGGGAGGGGTTGAAATTTTTAGGGGGGGGTTTGAAAATTTCATGGGGGGGTTGAAACCTGCCTCTTAGCTCACGCTGAAGCAAAGAGCACAGCAGGGGGCAAAGCAGCCTTCAATAGCCTGCAGCTCCGCCCCTGTCAACCACCTCCACCAAGTCTGGCCTCCTTAATGAGAGCATTCAACACACACACACACACCCAACTTGGTTGCTTCACTACATCGGCTATTGCTGTAAGTAATGACAGTGTGAATAAATTGTCAATATTTGCCTGAGATAGTGCTTGCAGTTCTGGATAGACTCTTAATTTTTTGTGTCTCATAGACTTAGCATGGGGATTTGGTTAACCAGTTAAAATTCATGAGTAAACCAGGTTTTTTAAAAAAATCTGAAACATTTTGGGGGGGCTGAACCCCTAAACCCCCCCACCCCCGCTACAGGCCTGTTCCCACCTCAACATCTTTAAACTTACTTGCCCAACGACGCACAGAACTCACATCAACACAATCTCCATAAACAGCTTGCATTATCTGATTAATCTCCTTTGGGGTGACACCTTCTGCTGTCAAGAATTCAATGACTGCATGTTGCTTGTCACATTTACTGACTGTCTGGCAGGATTCCATACTTCGCACTTTAACAACACAGCCGTTCAATGCTAAGGTTTCCCATCAAAATGGAACTGTAGAGGAGAGTCTACTGAACAAGCTAGTACCTGCCGCATACCAGTACTGCCATCTATTGAGAAGTTACGAAGGTGGAGGCATTACTTTTCATTCAACCCTCGCAAGCAACACCTACTAAAGTAAACGGTAAGCCTCCCGCTTCGCTGCCTGTTGATTTGAACATCATTTCGACCTTTCTACTTCTAATGACAATCTTCTATATTGGGAAAGCCACGGCTGAAGACTGTTCCCATCTTTGCTGCATAAAAGGAAGAAAGACCCCAGTCTTTCTTGAATTGAGGCAAGGATGTCTCTGGAATCAACACTGCCGATGTGTCCATCTCCACTAATTCACTTATTTCCATCTGCCGATCTCTGGGCAGAGACTGTTCTCACTGCTGTCGTCATACATAATAGTCACCTTGCTTTGTTTCTTTCCTAATTGGCCGCCCGGCATTTCCAACAAGACGCAGTTTGGGTGTCATTGCAACCTTTATCACACCTTCTAGCATGCTTTGTACCTTAGTCCAATGTTTTGGGGTCTTTTTGACACGAATGTGTTATGCATGTTTCATATGAAAAACAGAAAGAGAGAGCAGCACCATTTCCAAACAAGAGGTTTCAGGTAACACTCGAGGCTTTTCAAAGAGCAATCTGGGACAAGCGGCGACATAACCGCGAGCGACAACCGCGCCGCGTTCCCTGCCCTCCCCAGCCATCACCCAAAACGCAGCAACGACAACGACGTCTCGAGCTTCAAAATCCACAGAAGCGGCGCCCTGGACACCTCTATTGACAGACGAGGCGCTGTTGTTGACACCGCAACAGAACTCCTGTAATGGTTTACTCTGGGTTTTTTAGGGGAACATCAAAGCCACGTGGCGACAGACAGCCACCGGCTCCCTGACAGCAAATGTTGCGCGCAGCCAAGCCTAATCTGCCTAAGGCTGAACGGTTTGTATCTCAAGTCGGGGCTGTTTGTTGCGGCAGGAAAGCAAATGCCGGGCTCCCCCCGCCCAGCCCCGTCCCATCCCGTCCCGTCCGTCATCCTCACACACATAGACAAAACACAGGGTAAGGAAGGCCTGCCAGTCTCACTTCTCCGGCTTCTCCGGAGACTGCGCAGGTGCCACCGAGGGGGGAATAATGCGCTGGCGGCGACAAGAAAGCCATTAATTAGGAAAACGGGGATACGCAGAGGCAGAGAGAAGCTGCCACCCCAGACAGAAGCAGGAAGCCAAACGTACACCTGACAAAAGGGGTAATTAGCCAGTTTAACAGCCTCGCGAAATGTGATCGGGTGGGGGCAGAGCGTATAAATAATGGATGCCCAGGCGCTCCTCTGACAGTCCCCGAGAAGGGCTTGACGTGTTCATAAGCGCGCGCACGCAAACACTCTTTCCCGTTTGGTTCTTCCACTTTCAGGCCCCAAAAAGGTGCGGATGCAGTGGGACTGACGGGAGGAGGCCGATGCACAGCCAACTTTTCCGTCCTGGCATCTCAACAGAGTGACATTTGTATGTTGTTATAAGCTAGCTTTATCTATTTATTTTGTATCAAAAGCATTGCATAAATTAGTATAAAACTGACAAAAATAGAAGGTGCGCAGGCAGCTAAATATCTTTTGACCAAAAACGGGCAACAGCAACAGCAATGTCTGTAGCCTCCAACAATTCCTTCTCTGTACATGAGGCAGGGCACAGTGGACAAGCATACAGATGCGGAGTTGTCTGTTCTGCTCCACAGTCACAGGTGTGGGATTCTTTTAGGTAGTGCCATTTTGCCAGGTTGTCTTTTGATCTGCCCACTCCACTTCTGAGTCTGTTCAGGGACTTCCAAGTTGGCCATTCTTGGTTTGCCCCTGGAGGAAGACCCTCGCGGGGAGCCATCCAGTTGGATTTCCTGGTTTAGCTCCCCAGAGGGATACCCTTGCTGTTGCTGGGGGGATGCCAAGAGGAATGGTAGTTCTCATAAAGCTTTTCCTTGATTTGAGTCTCCTGGGTGGAGATTGACAGACATGCAGTGGGTGGCTTTCACAGGGTCCAACCTTATTTCTCTTACATTTAGCAGCAACTTGCCATCACACATGGGGCGGGCGGGGGGGGGGGGGGGGGAATGCCAGCTAGCTTGTAGAGTTTATCAACAGGTGTAGGTTTAAGACATCCTGTGATTATTCTGCATGTTTTGTTCAATGCTATGTTCACCTGTTTTGCATGGGCAGACTTGTGCTAAACAGAGCAGGCATACTCGGAAATCGAGTAAGATAAGGCCAGGGCTGATATTCTTATTAATTTTGGGTCTGCATCCCATGTGCTGCCCTTAAGTTTCCACAGGATGTTATTGCGTGCAGCTACTTTGTGCTTGGAGTTCAAGCAGTGTTTCCTATACACTAGTGTTCAATCTAAATTGGGTATGTGGCGATGCCCAGGTGAGGTATTTCGGTATGCTCTTCATTACAAAACAGACAGACAGATAGATAGACAGACAGACAGATGACTGTATGTGGAGGGAGCCTCCTTTTGGCTTTCCTGATCCCAAGGGCCCATTCATAAGGCATCATCACAACAACAACCCAGTCTGAGCCATAGACTGCTCAAAGTTCGCTGTCGCTTCCTGAATACATATGCTCTTGGCAACTTATACAACAGCCCAGCAACGTAGGACCACGTGGTTTTCAAGTGCAGGGAACACAACAAGGCTCCATCAGGAGAAGCCCAACTCATAACATGGTTCAAAGGGCATCTCTGGAAGGGATCCAGGTGCAAAGGCCCCCTCCATTCACCTAGATAATGATGACGACAGCAATGATAATAAGAATAATTGCGCTCACTGTCGTCATTGTCCAGCAACAGCAGCTCAATCAGGAACCCAATGGGATCATCTGGTCTGTGGATCATCAAACCCTCCAGCATGATCTGCAGAGAGACAAAACAGACACGAAAGTGTCAAGTTTTCATCAGTTGTTGTTGTTGTTGTTGTTGTTGTTGTTATTATTAAACTTATTTATACCCTGCCACCATCTCCCTTCAGGGAATCAGGGCGGCTAACATGAGGCCAAGCCCAACAAATATAACAAGCAAATAAAATACATACAACAAACAAAAATAAAGTACAAGCAGTAAAAACAATAAAATACAACAATAAAAGAACAACAACTCAGTTGGATAAAAACTCCAGGAATGAAATAAAATGAAAATTAAGGATAAGGAGTAAACAAAGTGGGCTGGACCAAATGCAAAGATAAAAACAAGGGGACATTGGGTGAGATGGGAAGACTGGAGTGATTTATCTGGTGGGAGATAGAGGCGGGACAAGCTATGGGGTTTAATTGCCCACTAAGAATAAGGTGCAATGAACCAGGAGGACAAGTACAGTATATGCTGTGACCGTCATGGTATGGGGATTATTGTTCATTCATCAAAAGCAAGGCAGAACAACCAGGTTTCAAGCGGTTCCTAAAAGCTGACAGGCTGGGGGATAGCCTAATCTCCCCAGGTAATAAGTTACAAAGCCAGGGGGGCACCACCGAGAAGGCTCTCTCCCTCGTCCACATAAGCTGCTCTTGCGACAAGGGTGGGAGCAAGAGGAGAGCCTCCCTGGAAGATCAAAGGTGTCGTGCAGGTTCGTAGAAGGAAATGCGGTCACGAAGGTAGGCGGGTCCCAAACCGTTCAGGGTTTTGTAGGTGATAACCTGCACCTTGAATTGGGATTGGAAAATGAATGGCAGCCAATGGAGCTCCTTAAACAGGGGGGTGGGCCACTCCTTGTAATTCGCTCCAGTTATCAATCTGGCTGCTGAGCGCTGGACCAATTAGTTTCCAGACCATCTTCAAGGGCAGCCCCTCATAGTGTGTTGCAACAGTGCAATCTAGAGGTAACCAAAGCGTGGACCACCGTGGCCAAGTCAGACATATAATGTGGCAGCAATAATAATATACTGAGAATAATTCAAAGAGCAGTTGCTTCTTATTGAAGAGGGGAAGGTGTGATACTAATAATAATCCTTCTGACTCTCATTGAAGAGGACAAAGTGTGGTGATAATAATAATCCTCTACTAATACTGACAATAATAATAATATACTGAGAATAATACAAATAGCCCTAGTCAAATTGACTCTCATTGAAGAGAGCAAAGTGTGGTGATGATAATAATAATAATCCTCAATTAATACTGACAATAATAATAATATACTGAGAACAACACAAAGAGCCCGAGTTAAATTGACTCTCATTGAAGAGGGCAAAGTGTGATAATAATAATAATCCTCTATTAATAGTGACAATAATAATAATATACTGAGAATATATATATATATATATATATATATATATATATATATATAATTTTATTTTAATATTCTATTATTATTATTATTATTGTTATTATTAAATATTTGTACCCCGCTAGCATCTCCCGAAGGACTCGATGCGGCTTACAAAGGCCAAGGCCTCAACACAACAACAGCAAAACAATAACAATACAATTCAAAGCAAATTAAAAGCATAAGCAATAACAAAAATTTACATCATTACGCAATAAAACCAGGGCCGGGCCAGTGATGGGTACAGATTAAAAAGTGTTGGGTGTGGCAGGTGGTATGTTGGATTTCCGGGCAAGTGCAATGTGCAGAGAGTCTTAAACTCTAATAAAGTGCTTCTGGGACATAGTGCTGGAGGTTATCCTAATCCGGGAAGGCACATAGGAATAGCCAGGTCTTCAAGTTCTTCCTAAAGACTGCCAATGTGGGTGCTAGTCTAATGTCTTTGGGGAGGGTGTTCCAGAGTCGGGGGGCAACCACAGAGAAAGCCCTGTCCCTCGTTCCCACCAAACCCGCCTGCGACGCAGGTGGGATCGTGAGCAGGGCCTCTCCGGATGAACGATGGGAGCGCGTGGGTTCATAAACGGAGATGCGGTCACACAGGTAGGCAGGTCCCAAACCGTTTAGGGCTTTGTAGGTAAGCACCTGCACCTTGAATTGGGCTTGGTAGGTAAACGGCAGCCAATGGAGTTCCTTAAACAGGAGGGTTGACCTCTCTCTGTAAGGAGCGCCAGTTAACATCCTGGCCATTGCCCGTTGGACCAGTTGGAATTTCCGAGCTGTTTTCAAGGGCAGCCCCACGTAGAGTGCATTACAGTAATCCAATCTAGAGGTGACCAAGGCATGGACCACCCTGGCCAAATCAACCTTTGCGAGGTACAGTCACAGCTGGCGCACAAGTCTTAGTTGCGCAAAGCCCTCCCGGACACCGCCGACGCCAGAGCCTCAAGCGTAAGTGATGAATCCAGGAGAACTCCCAAACTGCGGACCTGTGACTTCAGGGGGAGTGTAACCCCATCCAGCACAGGTTGCCACCCTACACCCCGATCCGGTTTACAACTGACCAGGAGGACCTCTGTCTTGTCGGGATTGATCTTCAGCTTGTTCTTCCTCATCCAGATAGACACAGCGGCCAGGCACTCGTCCAGCACTCGAGGGGCCTCCTTGGAATTAGGTGGAAAAGAGTAGTAGAGTTGTGTGTCTTCTGCGTATTATTATTATTATTATATATATAATAATAATTTGACTCTCATTGAAGAGGGCAAAGTGTGATGATAATAATAATAATCCTCTATTAATACTGACAATAATAATAATATATGGAGATTATATAATATATATATAATTTCATTTTAATATATTATTATTGACTCATTGAAGAGGGCAAAGTGTGATGATAATAATAATAATCCTCTATTAATACTGACAATAATGATAATATACAGAGAATAATATTATATATAACTAGCGGTCCCCTGCCACGCGTTGCTGTGGCTCAGTCTGGTGATATGGAAAATAAAGTAATTAGAAAGTGCTGGTTTCTAATATATGTAATGTCTTTATGCTTGTGGGTAAACAGTATTTCTTGGTGTTTCTTTGACAATGTTGACATAGGGATTTTCTGGTTTGCCTACTCTGGAACATGCAACATATAATTGTCCATCTTTAGGAGTCCCTTTCAAATCTATAATCCTTTTCTCTCTATGTGTGTGAATTATATATACCTATCTATATCTATGGTTGGATGGCTCTCTGTCAGGAGGGCTTTGATTACGTTTCCTTGCCCTGGTGAAGGGAGTTGGACTGGATGGCCTTAAGTATTTTCTGTTGGTCATGGGGGTTCTGTGTGGGAAGTTTGCCCCAGTTCTGTCATTCGTGGGGTTCATTCAGAATAGTCTTTAATTGTAGGTGAACTATAAATCCCAGTAACTACAACTCCCAAATGCCAAAGTCTATTTACCCCAAACTCCATCTGTGTTCATATTTGGGCATATGGAATATTCATGCCAAGTTTGGTCCAGATCCATTATTGTTTGAGTCCACAGTGCTCTCTGGATGTAGGTGAACTACAACTCCAAAACTCAAGGTCAATGCCCATCAAACCCTTCCAGTATTTTCTTTTGGTCATGGGAGTTCTGTGTGATGTTTGGTTCAATTCCATCGTTGGTAGAGTTCAAAATGCTCTTTGATTATAGGTGAACTATAAATCTAGGTTCTTGTAGGTTTTTTTGGGCTATAGGGCCATGTTCTAGAGGCATTTCTCCTGACGTTTCGCCTGCATCTATGGCAAGCATCCTCACTACCTCTGAGGATGCTTGCCATAGATGCAGGCGAAACGTCAGGAGAAATGCCTCTAGAACATGGCCCTATAGCCCGAAAAAACCTACAAGAACCTAGTGATTCCAGCCATGAAAGCCTTCGACAATACATTGAACTATAAATCCCAGCAACTACAACTCCCAAATGACAAAATCATATTTTTTGAGCGATGGTCACTCCTTGTGTTGTGAGACGTTTTGTTGCCAAATTTGGTGTGATTTCATTCATTGGTTCTTTTGTTTTTAAGAAACTCATTATGCACAGAGCATTTATATATATATAGAAGATAAATAGATAGATAGATATATTCATTATATATATAATTTCATTATATATATTATTTTATTATATATTATTATTTTATTTTAATATTCTATTATTATTATTATTATTATTATTATATATATAATAATAATTTGACTCTCACTGAAGAGGGCAAAAAGTGTGATGATAATAATAATAATAATAATAATCCCCTATTAATACTGACAATAATAATAATATACTGAGAGAAATACAAAGAGCCTGAGTCAAAATGACTCTCATTGAAGAGGGCAAAGTGTGACGATAGTACTACTACTCTAGGTGCGGCTGGAGGGCCGAGTAGGCCTCGGGGACATTTTCCCGCCCGAAAGGACCCCCAATGTTGTTGTTATTGTTGTTGTTTGCTGCCCACGCCCTCCTCGCACCTGCATGAGGCGGAAGAGGCCCTTCTCCTCGGCGTAGAGCCCAATGCGCGGCGGGACCACGAGCGGCCTTTGCGTGGCGTCCATGGCGGCCTTAGCAACGCCTCCGTTGCTAGGGGGAGCGCGTCACCCGCGGGCGCCGAGGAGCCCAGGCCAGGCCACGCCCCCTCCCAAGCGCGCCATCTGGCGGCGACGGCGGCGCCTTTCCCCGCCCCCTCGGTTGCCCCGGCAACGCGGAAGTAACAATTGCCTGCCTCTCCCCAAAGGAAAGGGGCGGAGCGTTGGAGGGAGAGGAGGAGCCGCGGCAGCGAGGAGGAGGAGGAGCCAGGCCAGCCCCTCGGGACATGCGCGATCGGGGCCTGGAGGCAAGGTAGGAAGGAGGGGGGGACTCCAAATCCCAGCAGCGCCCGGGACGCAACGCCCTCCTCCCGCCTAGGGGGCGCGCGAGGGGCAGCCTGGGCCTTGTAGTCCGGCCCGTTTAAAGGGCCCTCCCTCCCTTTCTCTCAACGGAAGGTCTATCATGATTATACAGCATAGAAGAGACTTGTCTTAATTGGTGTTCTGCTATCACAATCCTATATTGTACTGAATTATATATTTTACTGCATTAGTTGTATTATAGTGAATTATATATTTTATTACACTATCATATTGATATGGAATTGTATATTTCATTATATTGATATTGATATGGAATTATATATTTCATTGTATTGAAATATATTTTATACTATTTTATAATAATTATTTATTTTATTATGCTATTATGTTGATATGGAATTATACATTTCATTATATTTATTATTTATTAACTTTGCTTATATACCGCTGTATCTCAAGTCCGAAGGCGACTCACAGCGGTTCATATTGAATTATAATATAATTTATACTATTATATGTCATATTTATATTATATTATATTTATTATATCATATTTATATTATATTTATTATTATATCACATTTATATTATATTATATTTATTATACCATTTTATATCATATTTATATTATATTATATTTTATACTATTTTATAATAATTATACATTTTATTATGCTAGTATATTAATATCAAATTATATATTTTATTATATTGAACTATATAATTATACTTTTATATTGATATTGATATGGAATTATATATTTTATCATATTGAATTATATTTTATACTATTTTATAATAATTATTTATTTTTATACTATTAAATTGATATGGAATTATACATTTCATTATATTGAATTATAATATAGTTTATACTATTTTATATCATATTTATATTATATTATAATATATTTTATAATATATTTTATACTATTTTATAATAATTATATATTTTATTATTTATTTATTTATTTTATTATTTATTTTATTTACTGCACTTGTTAACCGCCGCTCTCAGCCCTAGGGCGACTCGCGGCGGTGTACAACAATCTAAAAACAGGTACAAAACAGCAACACAATCAAAATTACATCATCAACGCTAAATACAAATTACATCTAATTGATCCGCTTCGTCTCATTCATAAACTCATAGCCAACTCAAAATCCGTATAATGTTCCTGTCGTCGGTTACCGGTTAAAGCACTTAATTGAAAGCTTTCTCAAAGAGCCAGGTTTTCAAGTTTTTACGAAAGGAGAGCAAGGAGGGCGCCTGTCTAATATCAGTAGGGAGAGCGTTCCACAGCCGCGGGGCCACCACCGAGAAGGCCCTCTCTCTCGTCCCCGCCAGACGTGCCTGTGAAGCAGGCGGGACCGAGAGAAGGGCCTCCCCAGATGATCTCAAGGCCCTCGTGGGCTCATAGGCCAAGATGCGGTCCGAAAGGTATTTTGGGCCGGAACCGTTTAGGGCTTTGTAGGATAACACCAACACCTTGAATTGGGCCCGGTAGCAAATCGGCAGCCAGTGGAGCTGAGACAGCAAGGGCGTTGTATGCTCCCTGCGTCCCGCTCCGGTTATTAACATGGCTGCCGCGCGCTGGACTAGCTATAGCTTCCGGGCCGTCTTCAAGGGTAGCCCCACGTAGAGAGCGTTGCAGTAGTCAAGGCGGGATGTGACCAGAGCGTGTACCACCGTGGCCAAGTCGGCTTTCCCAAGGTACGGGCGCAGCTGGCGCACAAGCCTAAGCTGTGCAAAAGCTCCCCTGGTCACCGCTGAAACCTGGGGATCCAGGCTCAACGATGAATCCAGGGTCACCCCCAAGCTGCGAACCTAGTATATTAATATCAAATTATATATTTTATTATATTGAACTGTATAATTTATTATACTATTATATTGATATTGATATGGAATTATACATTTCATTATATTGAATTATAATATAGTTTATACTATTTTATATCATATTTATATTATATTATATTTATTATATCATTTTATATCATATTTATATTATATTATATTATATTTATTTATTTATTTACTTTGCTTATATACCGCTGTATCTCAAGCCCGAAGGCGACTCACAGCGGTTCACAAACAGTAAAAACAGTAGAAACAGCAGTGGTTCCATACAACATATAACAATTGACTTAACACATTATCCATAAATTATCCATAAATTACCAATAAGCAATTACAATGCACAATTATTATATATTTTATACTATTTTATAATTATTATATATTTTATTATGCTAGTATATTAATATCAAATTATATATTTTATTATATTGAACTATATAATTATACTATTATATTGATATTGATATGGAATTATATATTTCATCATATTGAATTATATATTTTGTTATACTATTTTATAATAATTATTTTATTATGCTATTATATTGATATTGATACGGAATTATATATTTCATTGTATTGAAATATATTTTAAACTATTTTATAATAATAATTTATTTTATTTTGCTATTATATTGATATGGAATTATACATTTCATTATATTGAATTATAATATAGTTTATACTATTTTATATCATATTTATATTATATTTTATTATACCATTTTATATTTATATTATATTATAATATATTTTATTATATTTTATACTATTTTATAATTATTATATATTTTATTATGCTAGTATATTAATATCAAATTATATATTTTATTACATTGAACTATATAATTTATTATACTATTATATTGATATTGATACGGAATTACATATTTCATTGTATTGAAATATATTTTATACTATTTTATAATAATTATTTATTTTATTATGCTATTATATTGATATGGAATTATACATTTCATTATATTGAATTATAATATATTTTATACTATTTTAAATCATATTTATATTATATTATAATATATTTTATAATATATTTTATACTATTTTATATGAATTATATATTTTATTATGTTATTTCCGGAGCCCCCAGTGGTTGCAATGGGTTAAACGCTTGTGTGGGCAAGTTTGCTGAGCAAAAGGTTGGCAGTTCAAATCCGCGAGAGGGAGTGAGCTCCCGTCTGTCAGCTCTAGCTTCCCATGAGAGAAACCTCCCACAGGATAGTAATATATCTGGGCAACATTCCCTGGGCAACGTCCATGCAGACCACCAATTTTCTCACACCAGAAGCAACTTGCAGTTTTCTCAAATCGTTACTTAGATACATTAATAGTATATTATATTAATATTGTTATATATGATTAATATTGTATTAATTCTATTATACTTAATTATATTGTATAATAATAACATAATATAAAATATAATAAAATATATAATTCAATGATATAATGTATATATTATAAATACAATATAAACTAGTAACAGCAATATATTCTTGCAGTAAGATTATTACTATATAATATATAATGGAGTACAATTAATATAATTACCATTACCATATTAATACTATAATATGTGAGAGGAAGTCCTAGGGAGGAGGGAACAAGCTTGTTTTCTGCTGCCCTGGAAACTGGGACACTATGGAACAATGGCTTCAACCTACAGGGAAAAAAGGAGATTCCATCTGAACATGAGGAAGAACTTCCTGACTCTAAGAGGTGTTCAGCAGTGGGACTCTCTGCCTCGAAGTGTGGGGAAGGCTCCTTCTTTGGAGGCTTTGAAACAGAGGCTGGATGGCCATCTGTTGGGGGGTGCTTTGAATGCAATTTTCCTACTTCTTGGCAGGGGATTGGACTGGATGTCCCACGAGGTCTCTTCCAACTCTATGATTCTATATATAATTCCATAATATATCATATATAATTCAGTCTTATATAATAATAATAATAATAATAATAATAATAATAATAATAATAATAATATACTTATTGTATTATAGTAACAATAAATTAATATGCTTACTATATAATATATAATTCAATAGAATATAATAGAATTATAATATATATTACTATATTATTATTATAATGAATATATTAATATATAATTCAAAATAGTATATAAATATATAATTATAATATCAAGAATATATTATATTAAGATTGCTAAATATAGATTTCTTATAATATACTACTAATTATTATTATTATTATAGAATAATAAATGCAATCATATAATATACACTTCAATATTATGTAATAATATAACAAATATAGAATAATATACAATTCAAGGTGAAACGACCACCGTTGGCTTTGCTCCTGTCACGATGGTGCTTTGAAGCAGAGGCTGGATGGCCTTCTGCCGGGAGGGCTTTGACTGTGTGGTCAGACCACTCCTGAAAAAGACTTCCCTTGATTCCACAGTCTTGAATAACTATAGACCAATCTCAAACCTCCCTTTCCTGGGCAAGGTGTTGGAGCGGGTGGTCGCTGCTCAGCTCCAGGGCTTCCTGGATGACATCGACTATCTGGATCAGTCAGTCTGGCCACGGCACCGAGATGGCTTTGGACGCCTTGGTGGATGATCTCCATAGGGAGCTGGACAGGGGGAGTGTGACCCTGTTGGTTCTCTTGGACATCTCAGCGGCTTTCGATACCATCGATCATGGTATCCTTCTGGGACGACTCTCCGGGATGGGCCTTGGAGGTACGGCTCTGTCCGTGGCTCCGGTCCTTTCTGGAGGGCCGATCCCAGATGGTGAAGCTGGGAGACGCCTGCTCAGACCCCTGGCCTTTGACCTGTGGGGTCCTGCAAGGCTCCATTCTGTCTCCCATGCTTTTTAACATCTACATGAAACCGCTGGGAGAGGTCATACGGAGTTTTGGAGTTGGGTGCCATCTCTATGCAGATGCCACACAACTCTACTACTCTTTTCCACCTAACTCCAAGGAAGCCCCTCGAGTGCTAGATGAGTGCCTGACTGCTGTGGCTGTCTGGATGAGGACAAACAAGCTGAAGATTAATCCCGACAAGACAGAGGTCCTCCTGGTCGATCGTAAGCCGGACCAGGATATAGGGTGGCAACCTGTGCTGGATGGGGTTGCACTCCCCCTGAAGTCACAGGTCCGCAGTTTGGGGGTCCTCCTGGATTCTTCACTTACGTTTGAGGCTCAGGAGTCGGTGGTGGCCGGGAGGGCCTTTGCACAATTAAGACTCATGCGCCAACTGCGACCGTACCTCAGGAAGGCGGATCTGGCCAAAGTGGTCCACGCCTTAGTCACCTCTAGACTGGATTACTGCAATGCACTCTACATGCATTGCAGTATCTGAAAACTATCTGAAAACGTCTCGGAAATTCCAGATGGTCCAACGGGCAGCGGCCAGGATGTTAACTGGGGCTCCTTACAGGGAGCGGTCAACCCTCCTGTTCAAGGAGCTCCACTGGATGCCATTCATTTTCCGGACCCAATTCAAGATGCAGGTTTTTACCTACAAAGCCCTGAACGGTTTGGGACCTGCCTACCTGCGTGACCGCATCTCTGTATACGAACCCACACGATCTCTTTGATCATCTGGAGAGGCCTTGCTCTCGATCCCACCAGCATCGCAGGCGCGATCAGTGGAGACGAAGAGAGGGCCTTTTCGGTGGTGGCCCCTCGACTCTGGAACTCACTCCCTAGGGACATCAGGCAGGCCCCAACTCTGGCAGTCTTTAGGAGGAGCTTGAAGACGTGGTTGTTCCAGTGTGCCTTCCCAGAATAATGATTCCATAGCACTTTGTCCTCCAAAGCACTTTACATTTTAGGTCTGCTTGAACGTTTTCCACAAACGCCACTACCACCTTTTCGCCCATGCTCCAGCATTATTTTCAATTTTAATTTTACATTTGGCCTTCCCACAGTTTTAATTGTGTGTTGTCTCATTGTTAATGTTGCATATCTTATTGTCCATGTTTTTTATTTTAATTGCTTGTATTGTTATTATTGCGTGTATTGTTGTATTTGGGCTCGGCCTCATGTAAGCCATACCGAGTCCCTTGGGGAGATAGTAGCAGGGTACAAATAAAGTGTTGTTATTATTATTATTATTATTATTATTATTATTATTATTATTATTATTATGTCCAAGTTAAGGGCCCCATTCCTTCCCATTCTCTCTGTCTCTCTCGCCATGTCGCGCAGGAGGGGGCGAAGATGAACGAGATCAAGGAGAGCCTTCGCAACATCGAGCAGACCTACAAGGTCTTCCAGCAGCAGCAGTTCACCTTCATCGCGGCCCTGGAGCACTCCAGGGAGAACGCCCATGACAAGATCAAGCCCATCTCCAGCATCGGGCAGGTGAGACTTTGGGAAAAGGAATGCTTGGGGACAGGTAGGCCTTCCTTTTGGGGTACGAGGGCCTTTGGGGAAGGGGAGCCTTTGGGACAGGTAATGCCTTGGGGCAGGTGAACCTTCCTTTGGAGTAGGGGAGCTGTTATGGCAGGGAATGCCTTTGGAACAGATGAGACTTTGGAACAGGTGAGCCTTCTTTTGGGTGCAGGTGAGCCATCCTATGGGGCAGGGGGGGCCTTTGGGACAGGTAATGCCTTGAGGCAGGTGAGCCTTCCTTTGGAGCCTTTAGGGCAGGGAATGCCTTTGGGACAGGTAGGACTTTGGGACACGTAAGCCTTCCTTTGGGCACAGGTGGGCCTTTGGGGCAGGGGAGCCTTTGGGACAGGTAATGCCTTGGGGAAGGTGAACTTTCCTTTGGAGTAAGGGAGCCGTTATGGCAGGGAATGCCTTTGGAACAGGTGAGCCTTTTGGGTGGAGGTGAGCCTTTGGGGAAGGGGAGCCATCCTATGGGGCTTTTGGGACAGGTAATGCCTTGTGGCAGGTGAGCCTTCCTTTGGAGCCTTTAGGGCAGGGAATGCCTTTGGGACAGTTAAGACTTTGGGACAGGTGAGACTTTGGGACAGAAGAGATTTCCTTTGGGCACAGGTAGGCCTTTGGAGAAGGGGAGCCTTTGGGACAGGTAATGCCTTGGGGCAGGTGAACCTTCCTTTGGAGTAGGGGAGCCTTCAGGGCAGGGAATGCCTTTTGAACAGGTGAGACCTTGGGACAGGTGAGTTTTCTTTTGGGTGCAGGTGAGCCTTTGGGGAAGCGGAGCCATTCTATGGGGTAGAAAGGTCTTTGGGACAGATAATGCCTTGCAGCAGGTGAGCCTTCCTTTGGAGCCTTTAGGGCAGGGAATGCCTTTGGGACAGGTAAGACTTTGGGACAGGTTAGACTTCCTTTGGGCACAGGTAGGCCTTTGGGGAAGGGGAGCCTTTAGGACAGGTAATGCCTTGACGGAGGTGAGCCTTCCTTTGGAGCAGGGGAGCCTTAGGGCAGGAAATGCCTTTGGGACAGGTGAGACTTTGGGACAGATGAGTCTTCCTTAGAGGGCCTCTTGTACCTGTCTTGATTTTGGGGCAGGTGAGCCTTTGGGAAAAGGTGGGCCTTCCTTTGAGGCAGGGAATTCTTGTGGACAGGTGAGCCTTTGAGGCCAGAAAGCCTTGAACGGCAGAGAAACCGTCCTTTGTGGCAGGTGTCCTTTCCTTTGGGGCAAGAGAGCCCTTGGGATAGGTGAGCCTTCCTCCTCTGGGGCTGGGGAGCCTTTGGGGAGGCCGCACTGGGCTTCTCCCACCCTTCTTCCCTGGGGCCAAAGGTGCCCCAAAGCCACCAGGAGGGTGATCCAGGGCAGCCCCTCAAAGAGGGGAGGGCCACATGGGCCCCTCACCCTTCAGCCTCATTCGGCACCTGCCCTCCTTCCCTCTGCACAGGTGCAGACCTACACGGACCACTACTGCAACAACACGACCGACAAGCGGATCCTGCTGATGTTCCTGAGCATCTGTGCTGACCTGAGCCGGCTGTGCCAGCGCCTGGAGGCCCTCCACTCCGGCAACGCCACCACCAACGCCCTCCTGGACAGGTGCAAGACCCTAGTCAGCCACAGCAACGACCTCAGCGCCGTCCGAGCCAAGTAGGTGGGGCGTGTTCCCCAGGGCAGGTGTTTTTTCCTCAAGTAATAGTCACACCCCTTTTTAAAATGAGTGTAACTCATGTGATGGAATAAGACCGTGAACCTGGGCAGGACTCGCCGGGTTCTAACCCTTCTGCCCCCTTCTGCCCAGGTTCCTGCAAAAGGCAGACTTCCTCATATAATAGTCACACCCCCCTTTTTCTTAAATGAGTCTGATTCATGTGATGGAATACAGCATTTCCTCAATGAAGATTATGAACCTGAGCTAAGTCCCATCATTTATGCCCTCAGTAAGGCAGTATTTTGGGGGCAAAAGCCCCAGAAACGAGAGTCAATGGCAAATGTTTTTTTCCTCACATAATAGTCACAACCCTTTTTAAAATGAGTGTAACTCACGTGAAGGAATAGGCCATTTCCCCGATGAGGACTGTGAGCCTGGACAGGACTCGCTGGGTTCCAACCCTTCTGCCCCCCTTTGTCCAGGTACCCATAAAAGGCAGACCTTTTCCCTCACATAATAGTTGCACCCCTCCTTTTTAAAATGAGTGTGACAGTCATATGATGGATTATGGCATTTTCTTCATGAGGACCGTGAGCTTGGGCAGGACCCTCCAAGTTCCAACCCTTCTGCCCCTTCTTCCCAGGTACCCGCACGACGTGGTGAACCACTTGAGCTGCGACGAGGCCCGCAACCACTACGGCGGGGTGGTGAGCCTGATCCCAGTGGTGCTGGACTGCATGAAGGAGTGGGTGGCCCACAGCGAGAAGCTGCCCCGCCACATGATGCAGAGTGTGAGTTCCCGGCGAGCGGCCGTCTACCAGCAGCCGGAGCTGCCCAACCTGAACGTGGGGCCCCGGCGAGGGGTGCCCCCCTTCGTGGCTGAGGCGGCCGCCCAGACCTCCCTGAGCCTGACGGAGAAGGCGGCCCGGCGGCGGGAGCGGAGGGGGGAGGCTAAGCTGGCGACCATGGGGGGCCTCGGGAGGGCCATCCGCAAGTTCCTGGATGGGCCCTGGAAGCCGCCGGGGAAGAGCGCCTTATAAGACACACACACCTAGCAGAGAGAAAGAGGAAAGAGAGAAAACGCCACAATTAAAAGAGAGTCTCCCTGTACTGGCTTCCGTCATACCCTTTCCTGCAACAGAGAGAGAGGAGGGGACCTTAGGGGGGAGCGGCAGGGTCAGAGCCTCCGGCGGCCCCTTAATGGGTCTGCATTGACCCATGGGTCAGTTCTTCCGGGCCCCAAGCCCCACCCCATGTGAGGGATGGGGGTCCAGCAGTTAGACCTGGGATGGGAAGGCTTAGATCTGGGGTCTGATGGCTGTTTTCCCCTCCCTCCCCACAGGCTACTTAGCTCCTGTCTTTTTTGCGGAAGATGCTTCTGAATAAAGCCATTTCCCCTGTGCACGCATGGCAGCTCATTGAGAGAGGGAGAGAGGGACCGGGGGGCAAGCGGGGGGATATCATCACCATTATCATAATTACACTTCCCGTATTTCATCGTGTAACAGTCACCATTGCATAATAGTTGCACATCCATTTTTGTGTGGTGGCAAAATTGGTATTTTTGTGTTCCACACATAATAGTCGCAGAGACCTTTAGGGGCAATTCTCCCTTCCTTCCTTCTTTCTCCAAAGGGAAGGCAGTTTTAAAAACCTGAAGTGGAGGTATCTGGAAGTCGATCCTTTTCTCCTTCCTCCAAATAATTCCATTGTATAATTTGGGGGAATTCAGCCCCAAAGGGCTCTGCAACTATTATGTGAGGAACACAAAACAGTCACGGGGCCGTTTGGGGCTGATTCCCCTTTCCTTCCATCCTTTTTCCTTTCCTTTCCTTTCTCTCTCCGAAGGCAAGGCAGTTTAAAAACTATGACTCGAAGGTCTCTGAAGCTCTGCTCTTCCCTGCTTCCTCCAAGGTCTTAAGGCAGTTTAAACACACTGAAATTGAGATTCTACAGCTCGGCTTTTCCCTGCTTCCACCAAAGAGCTCCACTGCAGATTTTGTAAACAGTTTTGCCTTCAGAGAAACAAGGAACATGGGAAGAGCAAAGCTCCAGAGACCTCCATTTTATAATTTTGTAAACTGCCTTGCCTTGGGAGGGAGAATCAGCCCCAAAGAGCTCTGCGCCTATTATGTGAGGAACACAAACTGGGTTGCTGTGAGCTTTCCGGGCTGTATAGACATGATCCAGAAGCATTCTCTCCTGACATTTTGCCCACAGATGTATAAACCTCACTTGCCTAGTTTTCAACAGACCTCCCAACCTTTCAGGGTGCCTGCTATAGATGTGGGCAAAGCATCAGGAGAGAATGCTTCTAGAACACGGCCACAGTCCAGAAAACTCATAGCAACCCAGTGATTCCAGCTAGAAAAGCCTTCAACAACACATAGTTGCAGAGCTGTTTGAGGCTCACCCACCCACTCTTCCTTCCTTCCTTCCATCCATCCATCCTTTTCCATCCCTTCCTACCCTCTTCATCTTTCCTTCCTTCTCCTTCCTTCCCTCCCTTTCCATTCCTTCCTTCCCTTTTCATCTTTCGATCTTTTCTCTCTTCTCTTTCCATCTTTTTCTTCCTTCCTTCTTCCCTTCTCTTTTCATCTTTCCATCTTTCCTTTCCATCTTTTTCCTTCCTTCCTTCCCTTTCCATCTTTTTTCTTCCGTCCTTCCTTCTCTCCCTTTCCATCCCTTCCCATCTTTCCATCTTTTCTTCCTTCTCTTTCCCTTTTTTTCTACCTTCCTTCTTTCCTTCCCATCCCTCTGCATCTTTCCTTCCTTCTCTTTTTCATCTTTTTCTACCTTCCTTCTTTCCTTCCTTCCCATCCCTTTGCATCTTTCCTTCCTTCTCTTTTTCATCTTTTTCTACCTTCCTTCTTTCCTTCCCATCCCTTTGCATCTTTCCTTCCTTCTCTTTTCATCTTTTTCTTCCTTCCTTCTTTCTTTCCCTACCTTTCCATCTATTTTCATCTTTCCTGCCTTCCTTCTCTTTCCATCTTTCTTTCCTTCCTTCCGCCCTGCATTTAAAAACAAACAAACTAACCAACAGAAACAGAGCTGTTTGTCTGAGGCTGGATCCTTCTTCCTCCTCCTTTTGGAGGTAAGGCATTTTATTTTAAAACAACCAAAAGCAAAAGAATCAAAGGCAGATTTTTCATTTCCTCATGCAATGGTCGCACCCCTCTTTTTCATGGGAAAAAAGGGAAAGTGCGACTATTATGTGATGAAATACGGTATTTTATATCTCAGCACAGATATAAATAGAATTGTGCAAAGGAGAACTGTGTTGAGGTGCAAAGGGTTGGACCGTGAATTGTGGGGTCTAAATAGTCCCTCCCTTCTTTGAACCAATCTAAAAAGCACCTGCAAGCATTAAAAGGGCAAAAGACCCACCAAAACTCTGAAAAACAAAGCCTCCCTGTAAAGAAGCAGTCGGTTAAGATGCACCGCGTGCTTTGGGTTCCTTCTCTCCATTCAGGGCAAGGAGCCAATGAATAATTGAGCCCTTTCTCAGCCTCCGGCTCTTAGAGCACAAAGTGTTCATTATTTATGGGGCTGTTTATGGAGCGATCCAGCATACCACCGCCCTGCTTAGCACTAGAAAGCCAGGGAAGGCAATTTATTTTTCTCTTTTTCTCTCGCGCCCGCCGGCGTCGTCCTCCGCCCTCTAACAGGATACATATTTAATCGTTTTGATCCCGGCGCTGGAGTGGCCCCTTGAATAGCAAGCAAACCAGGAAGGGGAAGGGGAGGGGAAGAGGGGCGATCGCTTTTGGTACCAAAAGAGTGGAAAAGTTTGAAGCGCCGGGTTTCTCCTGGGCCAAAGAAGCCGCTCCAAAAAGGGGAGTTGGCACACAAAAAAAAAGGTCCCAACTGTTCTAGGGAATTGTTTGCAACGAAAATCTAATCACCCTTCGTTGCGAAGTGGATGTGGCAGCAGACAACGCAATTCAATGCTATGTCAGTACAAATATCTATATATATAAAAATGCTCATGTCGTAATGAGTGGCTTAAAAACAATTGAAGACTCTCATTGAAGAGGACAAAGTGTGGTGATAATAATAATCCTCTATTAATACTGACAATCTATATATATAAAATGCTTCATGTCGTAATGAGTGGCTTAAAAACAAAAGAACCGCTGGGCCAATACCCACCAAATTTGCCAACAAAACTCCTCACCATACAAGGTGTGACCAACAATAAAAAAATTTAGAAAAACATTGAAAACAACTTAGAAATCCTTAATAAAAGGAGAAGCCATCACAGCGCATGCTTGCAGCTGTGGGGGGTGCGCATGTGCATGTAAGAGCTCCTCTGTCGTCTCGCGGTGGAACTTGTGGCGGCAACGGCTGCTGGGCCTCCCGGAGCCAGCCACAGCTCCACCAAAATTCGCCATCTGAAACACCAGCCTGACCAACAGAGACAGAGGGGCCTCTTCCTATTCACTTCCTCAATGCCTCTTCGAGCCTCAACCGAGGGAGTAGAAGCAGGAGGTGGCTTTTCCACTCCATAACAACTGCGCCTGGGAGAAGCTTGGCCCACCTTTCCCAGGAGCAATTGCAGGCAGGGAGGACTCCTCCCCGGCTGTTGCGGGCCCTGCCGTCCTCCGTCCCTCCCACTCTGTCATCAAACCCCTCCTGACAAAGAGCCATCCAGCCATTGATATAGATAGATAGATAGATAGATAGATAGATAGATAGATAGATATGATTCACAAACAGAGAGATATAGTATCATAGATTTGAAAGGGACCCTTAAAGAAGGACAATGATATGTTGCATGTTCCAGAGTGGGCAAACCAGACACTCTCCACATCAACACTGACAAAGACGCAGCAAGAAATACTATTTACTCACAAGCATAATTATATATATATTAGAAACCAACACTTTCTCATTACTTTATTTCCTAGATCAACAGACTGGGCCACAGCAACGCGTGGCAGGGGACAGCTAGTACATTATAGATGCGTGAGGTCTGGGTCTTAGTGGGCCATTGAGCCGAGAGTGTGATGCTGCAGCAAGAAAAGCCAATGTATTTCCAGGCTGCATCAATACAAATCTACATTATAGATGAGTGAGGCCTGACTTGACCTTGGAGTCTTGGTAAGGCACAAGATGAACATGAGACAACAGTGTGGTGCAGTGGCAAAACAAAGCAATGCAATTGTACATTACATCAACATAAATATTACATACTAGCCATCCTGCCACACGTTGCTGTGGCCCAGTCTGTGTATATGTTCATTGTGTGTATATATGTATTTGCGTTATGTGTATATATTTGTGATTGTGTATATATATATGTGATTTCGCGCATGTATTATTTATTTATTTTTGGCTTTTTAAGTCGCTTCCACTGTGTTTTCCACTGTTTTTATGAGTGATGGTCACTCATTGGCCAGATCGGTGTCTTGTGTCCAAATTTGGTGTCAATTCGCCCAGTGGTTTTTGAGTTATGTTAATCCCACAAATGAACATTACATTTTTATTTATATAGATAACTAGCCGTCCCCTGCCACACGTTGCTGTGGCCCACATGGGGGTTCTGTGTGGGAGCTTTGGCCCAATTCTATCATTGGTGGGGTTCAGAATGCTCTGTGATTGTAGGTGAACTACAAATCCCAGCAACTACAACTCCCAAATATCAAGATTCTATTTTCCCCAAACTCTACCAATATTCATATTTGGGCATATTGAGTATTCGTGTAGAGTTTGGTCCAGATCCATCATTGTTTGAGTCCACAGTGATCTTTGGATGTAGGTGAACTACAACTCCCAAACCAAAGGACACTGCTCACCAAACCCTTCCAGTATTTTCTGTTGGTCATAGGAGTACTGCATGGGAAGTCTGACCCAATTCTATTGTTGGTGGGAGTTCAGAATGCTCTTTGATTGTAGGGGAACTATAAATCCCAGCAACTACAACTCCCAAATGAAAAAAAAACATTTTTTTAAGTGAAGTTGTAGTTCACCTACATCCAGAGAGTACTGTGGACTCAAACAATGATGGATCTGGACCAATAGGTGAATTATAAATCCCAGCAACTACAACTCCCAAATGACAAAATCAATTTTTTTGAGTGAAGGACATTGGGTTGTTTGGTGTCTTGTGTCCAAATTTGGTGTCAATTTGCCCAGTAATTTTTGAGTTATGTTAATCCCACAAACGAACATTACATTTTTATAGATGATGTTAGTTTGTGGGATTAACATAATTCAAAAACCACTAGACGAATGGACATGAAATTTGGACACAAGACACCTACCAGGCCAACAAGTGACTGTCACTCATAAAAACACAGCAGAAGAGACTTAAAAAACCAAAAAATAAAAAATACATTACAACACATGCGCAAAACCACATATATACACATATATACACACAAAACACATATACACATA